GTGAGAATTTGATCCACTCGCTTATATGATCCACTCGCTTATAATATACGTTAGTACAAGACATTACGCTTTAGGAACTGAATAAGGCTTCGTATCATTTGCATGGCTTTACCTCCATCATACAGGCCGTCACGGACTTCTCAAGGAAAATGGCCTCGACAACAGTCTCCCCCTCACCAACTTCCATCTCACAATCGCTCCTCGAGCTCCCGGCCGACAGAGCATCAGCCAACCGAGCCGGCCCAAAACCATCGCCAACCACCAAATATCATTAAGCCCACCACCAAGACGACCCCTTGAAATTCCATCAACCACCACCCAAATCCACCATGCGCCCCTACGTCACAACCCTCCTCACCCTCACTCTCACCCTCGCTCTCACCGCCACATCCACAGCCGACTACACGCTAGCCTGCGGCCACTGGTACCAGCGTCTCAAATGCTCCATCGACGGCGCGATATGCCAGGGTCAGACCTTAGTCACGACCATCCCGGTCTGTCGCGAGAAATGCCAATGTGTGGCGGCCACGAAGGCGGGGGGTGATCATGGGACTGTGACGATGACTGTGGGAGGGTGGTAATCTACGTAGGTTAGGACTTGGGACCGATGTTGGGGCGTTTGGGATTGGGGTTGGGGTTGTTCTTGTCGGCTTGTTTTGTTGGTGTATTGAGAGAGGCTGGTCCCGGGATTGAAGACCCTCTGTGCCGTTCGCATTGTCGTGAACGTCGGTCCGACGTGCGTGTGGTTCGGTTAGTGCAGTTTTGAAATTTCGTTGTTTTGGTCGGGACGAGTACCACGTTGCTACAGCCGGGTAGCCATAGCTTCTGTCTGCCTGGGCCGCTACCTAGCCGTCGGCACCTTATCTAGGTATGGACCTACTACCGGGTAGGGACACGAGTGTTTAGTCCCGTTGTCGATATCTTGGCCACAATCCACACCCTGATTGATCGGCCAAAGCTTATCTTTTGGGGTTGGACGAGTCAAAAGGCAGAGACTCTCGGGACCCAAACACGGACTACTCGTTTCCTATGTTAGGTAGTGCGGTACTAGTGTTGTCCATTTCAAGAAAACGATAAACCTGGCTGTGCCGTGCCACTTGTTCACACTAATCGTGACGATCCATACGGGGGCCATACCCCACGCTCAGGGGATAAACGATGCCTTAAGGAGTATCCGTAGGTGGCCTTGGAGGTCAGTGAGGAAGCCGAGAGCGTGGGCCTGGGTTGAAGGACCGAAGTGAAGTGGCCATGTGGACAGCGGTTGGACATGGGTTAATTCATCCTCACTTCCGTTTGGGGTTATTAGCGTCTTAGTGTTCAGGGGTGAATTGACCCACCCTTTCTCAGCGACTGCCTAAATAAATTCTCCACCGAAGTCACTTTTCTCGCAGTTTCTATGGAAAAATACTTCTATATCGGATGCCCGCATTACTGCAAAGGATATCGGAACGTCAATAGTCCACAAAGACAAATGACATCCCAAAATAGCCCTGTTCCCCGCGGTTTTACCAGCTGCAGTTTCAACGGTAAGTCTGTAATACCAGACGTCACATTTCGTTTCATTCGCGGTGGTTTAGTGTGGGGTTCCGTCTAATTTTTACACTTCGATGGCAGTTCAGAGACACACTGACACAGTTTGTATGAAGAGTTGTTCCTCTCTGTTGTTTATAAAAGGCCAGGACATTCCAAGGTTTACTCTCCTTTCTTCATTCCATCTCACAACTCCCTCTCTACCTATACAATTCAATCTCAACCCTCCTTAAAAAAATTCAACTGCCCAATACCGCAACAATGGTTTGCTCTACGGGATGCCTTCAGTGTGGTCGCGGAAACGGTACGCTCACCATGCCGATCATTTGTTGCGCATAACTTAACTTCAGTTTATAGGGAGGTGCCCTTGCGGCGGCGGCTGCTCTTGCAGTGGTGCCAAGCGTCCCGTGGCGAGCTTTGGAGACGAGCCCTTCGATTTTGATGGTAGCGCCGCCGATGAAGTAAGCTTCTTACCCATGAGAACCTCTAGACTGCCGACTGCATAGGTACTAACCATAGACTTTTAGCACGACCAGGAGGTTGATCGCGATGTCAAGCAGCTTCCTGCCTGCTGCCGTAAAGCCAAGGTCGAACATTCGGATAGCTCCGACAGCGAGTAAATGTCAGGAAATGGGTCAAGCCGGTCGGGTAGGCTACAGCTGGAGTACAGGGTTCACCAGCAGCCAATTGTTTCAGGAACGAAGCAGGGGGTTATCACTGCCAAGAAGGGATTATCACCGTTGAAGAGGTAGCTAGACACTCATTATGGGGCACTCAGGAAGTTCTCCAGCAAGCAATCGATCCTTTTCACTCCAGACAAGTTGCTACACTTCGCTGTGAGATTTTGGCATCGCCGAATCTGTGACCCTTGAGATCTGGGGCGCCCTCGTCCTGTGTAAGGGTCATATTGCGAAGGTCGTTGAAGAGTGTCCTACGATCGCATCGACGGCCATACGCAGAACTGCTCCTCTTGTGCTTTCGCGGATACCTGCTTTCCTCCCAACACCAGACGAGACGGCCATCTTAACAATAGACGGCAAGGTCGACGCCGCTTGGTAGCGTTTTCCCTTTCACGCTAGACAAAATGACGGTCGCCGGATCAGTACCTACTCAGGTCGGTAACAACAGGGGAATCCCTAGTGTTGTATGTTTTGGATATTTTCCTTTCCTTTCATCCTTTTGGGCGCTATTAAATTCGTCTCATTGTGTGTTAGGTCATTGAGGCTAACAAACTTGCTCGTCCTAGACAACACGAACAGGGCGCCCGGCGAAGAACGCCCCCCTACCCGTTACAACATCCAACTCCAGATTCACGCACACAACCTCCCCCCTACTTCTTCTGCCCTAAAACCTTCTGCCCAATCTTCACCAGGTCCCCATTCTGCAGCGTATCGTTCTCAACCCCTTCAACAGCCTGATGCAACAGCGTAGCCGTGATCTCGCTGAGCCTTACATGAGGTTGTCGAAACGTCGCCATCACACCGCGCTGCAATACCGGCACCACCCCGCTGTTCGCCGTGATGAGGCCCGGCCTGGAAATACCCGCCTGCACCGTGCCGTTGGAGGCTTCGGCTGCCTTCAGGACGCCTGTTTCTGCTTGGCCCTGGTCGGGGTCAATATCGTGGGGTCATCACAGTAAATGGCGTTAAGGAGGGATTGTGTTGCAGGGAGTGTCTTACACGGATTAGGAGATATGCTCCTAGAATAAGCGGCTTCTTGGTCTGGTCACGCTCAGCGGCGCTGCCGCTGATGTAGAGAAAGCGACAGGGAGTTTTCTTCGCCTCGCTTTCAGGGGCAGCTTGGCGGAGCTTGGAAATGGTTTCGACGGCCCGGACGGGGTAGTCGCGGCAGATTTTGCCCGCCTCTTCCAGAGACGTTGACATCGCCTTGTTTGGGACCAGTCCGATTGTCCTGGCAAACGTGGGCTCAGCACGGTGAATTAGGTACTGGACCTGAGAGAGATGGGGTTCATTACCAGATGCAGGCATCGGCCTCGGCAAACTCTTTCCTCACGTCATCGGGATATTCGGCGCCAAAGTCCTTCAGAATAACGGACTTGAACTTTGCGATGTTGGCCGTAGGCTCGAGGTTCTGTGGCTCCGGGGTTGCGCGCCGGCCTAGACCCACCACGGAGGTGATGGCTGGGTTTGACAGGGCCTGACGGATGACCTCAGCGGCCACGTAACCCGATGACCCGGCGACAATGAGTTTCATGATGAAGGTGTTTGGATTTGAGTGGTTTCTCAGGCAAGATGAATTTTGGTGTTTTGGTGTTTTGCTCACCGGAGCGGAGGAACGGGCTTTTGGGTTTTAAGTCCGGGGCTCGCAACGGCCCAATCTGCAGGGGACTTGTCGCTTGGAAACGTTCCGGCACCAGCCCGGAACGGAGCTTCGGGGCAACATCAGGTGCCATCGCCGGGACCCTGTCTTGGAATTTTGAGATGCGAAAACAAACCCGACCAATGCGACCGTTGTATGTACGAAGTAATGATTCTCTTTTGAATTAGGGTTTTGTGATTGCCGCAGTGAAAGGTTGAGCGGCCACGAACGGAAGGTACTATTTACTTCGAATGTAAGGACTGCCGTCCATCTTAAAATGCAGATGGTCATGTAATAGGTTGGCATGCAGTGGCTTATTGTTAATCTCAAGTGGAAAATTAGAAATAAACTGCGTTGGTGTATGTATTTGGTCTCTTCATAATTGAAAAAGGATGGCCGTTTTGACAGGATGTTACAGGATTATACTTCATAGTAATTAGCAGCAGAATGCCAGAAACGCACATGTTCAGGCTTCGACCATCACGCAACGGCTGCATCCCTTACGTCCAAACAAATCGCCATGTCAGCCTCAGATGCTTCCTTCCTCGAACACCCGCGCCCCGGCCCCTCCATTTTCCCGGAGCGGCTCTTGGTCTTGAATCGGCAGGAGTAGCAGCCGGAGGTCCGCACCCTTGACACTAGACGATTCTTCCCCTCAAAAAAAGGCGAGGACCAAGCATCATCGACAACGAAATTTTCCCTTAAACCCAAATCTGATGACCTAAGACGCCCCGATTATTACAAACACGAATTATCCAATATCATAAGTTGCCCAACGGAGTTATAAGTCACTCGAATCACAACAACCTCAGCAACACGTATCCTGAGACCGCCCGACCGAGTCGCCCCAGCCACAACTATGTTTAACTTTAGAACAGCATTGGGAATCGCTTTCGGCAGTTTTGGATTTGTTGCATTACTCGTCCTAGGGATGAGACTCACCCGTCGGCCCGCCGCCGTATACAACTTTCTCCGTTTCTTGCCTCAGCGCATCAGAGGGCAACCCATCCGGCCTGGGGTCAATGGAGAAGCCACCGGGACGCGAGGATCTTGGCTGTGGCCGACGGGCCAAGGGGGGCAGTACCGGCGCTAGTGGGGTATCTCGGGCAGCCCTCCAGGAAGCGGTTCTTCGCGGGTTGATAACGGTCTACCGCAACAAGGGATTCCAAAGCAGAATCTCGGTGCGGCAGAGGCAGACGGAGGAGAGTCCGGGAACGTGCAGAATGAGGATGGGTTCGAGACCGTCCCGACCGTGGGAGGATCTGGGATCACGCGCAACGAGGGAACACCTGGGATCGTGCAAAATGAGGGAGAGTCAGAGACCGTGCATGCCGTGGAAGGATCTGGGAACGCGCCCAACGAGGGAACTTCCGGGGCCGGAACACCTGGGAACTTGCAAAATGAGGGAGGGTCAGAGACCGTGAACAACGAGGGCACATCTGGGAACCAGCGCAACGAGGGAACATCTAGAATATCGGGGATCGTGCGCACAGAGGAGTTTCAGGTATTGTCTGAACAGGCAAAGGATGAGGAAGACGAGCCTGGTCCATCAGAGGGACGGCCGAGGGTGCTCAGGAAGCGAGGGCGATGGCGTTAAAGAGAAGGAATGGAGATATGGGGGAAAAGAGGAGCGGTTGAGGATACTGTAACTGGGTTAAGGGATCAGGGGGGTATTGGACATAGTGTGGGTCGATAGAGGGGGGCCGCAAGACCAAAACGGGCATATTCAGACTTAGCGGACACCATTGAGCGTCAACAGCTACCACGGCATTCGTTGCGTTCCTGGGCTAGTCGTTTGATACAGCGAATACATGGGTTGGTTTGACAAACAACGAAAGGGTCTATGGGTGTAATTGAACATGTCAACATGCAAGATGCTAAATTAATGGGGCGTGCTCCAAAGCCACCCGTTAGTGGATGATGGTGTCAGCTGGGCCCCTCAGCTGGTGGAGTTGGGTTCCTGTTTCACGCTTATTCTGAATACCGGATTTGCCACTCTCTGGTGTGGCACAGTACTGCGCGAGCGTGCTGAAACAGGGAAACGGGGAAACAGGGGTCCTCAGCTTCAAGAGGGGTCCAACTAGTCCCTGGATCTCAAGTAAACTCAACTCACTCAAGATTCTCACAGATCTACTCGTTATCGACCTTCGATTTCAATAAGTCACGATTCTACGGCACACTCTACAACCATTTAATTACCTACCATCTTCTATACTAACCACTGACCACCCCAAACGACACAATGGCACCCAACCACGGCCTCGTCCACCTCAAAGAGTACGACATCAAAGACAGCAACGTGGAGCTAATCGGCTCCGACCTCGACCACAAAGTCAAATACGCCTCTGCCGCCACCGAACCAGCCTGGAACGACGGCCACGTCGGCCTCGTCCCGGGGATCTTCGTCTGGCGCATCGAGAACTTCGCTGTCGTTCCCGTGCCCAAGCAAGCATACGGCCAATTCTACGATGGCGACAGCTACATCGTGCTGCACTCGCAGCAAATCAAGAAGAAGAAGACAGACCCCGCCGAGGAAACTGAGAACGAACCACCGAAACTCTCCCACACAATCCACTTCCTCCTAGGCGCCCATACCTCCCAAGACGAAGCCGGCACAGCAGCCTACAAAACCGTCGAGCTCGACGAATTCCTCCACGGCGCTGCCACCCAACACCGCGAACTCCAAGCCCGCCCTTCCCCAGGTTTCCTCTCCCTCTTCCCCCGCGTTACCTTCCGTCGCGGCGGTGTCGCTTCCGGGTTCCGCCACGTTCCCCAGGACGAGGAAAAGGACGAAGAGGAAATCCTCACCCTCCTCCGCGTCTTCCGCAACCCGTCCACTTCTCCGGGTGCGGGAGCAGACGCAGTCATAGTCTACGAAGTCCCCGCGATGTGGACCTCGCTAGACGAAAACGATGTCTTCATCGTCGAGCAGGGGGCATCGGCCGGTGGGAAAATCTGGGTGTGGCAGGGGAAGAAGTGCTCGCCGATGGAAAAGGCGCGTGCCGCGCAGGTGGTGCACGATATGAAATTGGCTAAGCGGGTGGATGTGGAGGTGGTGTCGCAGGCGGAGGCGCGGTCAAGGGTGGTGGTCCGGATGTTGGGGGGTGGAGAGGAGGATGGGTTTGGGAGTTTGACGGCGGAGAGGCCTTTGGTGGGGAGTCGGCCTTCGTCTTCGGCTTCGTCTTCGGGTGGGGGTGCTGCGGGATCTAGGGTGGGTTCGAGATCATCGGGGGCTGGGAAGAAGTTGTTCAAGTTGAGTGATGAGTCCGGGCGGTTGGAATTTGGGTTGGTGAAGGAGAATGAGGTGGTGTTGCGTGGGGATTTGGATGGGGATGATGTGTTTGTGTTGGATGATGCGGGGCGGACGATTTGGGTATGGGAAGGTCAGGGGGCGAGTAAGGCCGAGAAGGCGACGTGGTTGAGGGTTGCGCAGGCGTATGTGCGGAGACTGCAGGGCGAGCAGGAGAATGGGGATGCGTATCTCACACCTGTTGCGAAGGTGCGTGAGGGTTCGGAGAGCACTGCATTCTTGCGCGTCATTGGCGTGGCGTGATTGAGTCACGGGGAAGGTGTGAACTGTTGTTTCTGGGAGACTTATTTATTTACAAATCTTGAGCGCGGTACGGCCTGTATGTAAAGAGAGGCTACCATTCTACTCCGTTGCTCCCATTCTAAACCCAAAGTTTCCGACTAACTGATCGCTGTTAAAGCGTTGGGTATCTACCAAGGTTGAAGTTCATTCTCCAGGACCATCGCTCTTAAACCGACAGGTCCTCACCCCAGACCTGCTTCGCAATCTCCACTTCCAACTTGACCTTAGCCCACTGCTGCTCCTCGCTCAGATCATTACCCTCCATCGTAGAGCTGAACCCGCACTGGTGCGACAAGCACAGCTGGTCCAGCCCACGCGGACAGAACTTGGCCGCCTCGTTCAACCGCCGCACAATATCCTCCTTGTCGTCCAGCTCAGCCTTCTTGCTCGACATGACGCCAAGGACAACAGTCTTGTTCTCCGGCAGGAACCGCAGCGGCGAGAAGTCGCCCGACCGCGCGTCGTCGTACTCGAGGAAGTACACATCGACGTCTAGCTCCTTAAACAACACCTCGGCCACGGGCTCGTATCCGCCTTCGGCGAACCACTGCGAACGGAAGTTGCCACGGCACAGATGCACACCAATCACCATGTCCTTGGGCCGCTGGCTGATGGCCGCGTTGATGAGCGACGCGTAGTGCTTGGTCAGCTTCTGCGGGTCCTCGCCGTGGCGCTTGGCTGCTTCGGCCCGCATGCCCTCGTCGCACAAGTAAGCCAGGTTGGTGTCGTCCAGCTGAACAAATCGGCACCCGGCCGCATACAGGTCTGCGATTTCGGCTTGGTAAACTTTGACCAGGTCCTCAAAGAAGCCGTCCAGTGTTGGGTAGGCTGTGGTCGAGATCGCCTCGCGCCCACCGCGGAAATGGACCATAGTCGGGCTGGGGATGCAGACCTTGGTGGTGATGGTCGACTTGGACCCGACCTGCTTGCGGACGCTCTCGACAAACTTGTAGTCCTCGACCTGGATCCCCTCTGGGTGGCCCAACTTGTCGACAACCAAAATCTTGGGCGGGGTAACACCGTGAGACGTGACATTGGTTGACGACAAGCTGCCATGTCGTTCAACCCCAGCGAGATGCTGCAAGAAGTCGAGGTGGAACCACGCGCGCCGAAACTCGCCGTCCGTCACAGACTGCAGGCCACTGTCGATCTGGTGCTTCACGACCCCTTCGATGTGTTCGTTTTCCAGCTTACGCAGCTCGTCGGCGGGGATTGGGCTCGAGCCGTCGAGGGTCTCGCGAGCTCGCAGGATCGGCGCCGGACGGAGAAAAGAGCCCACATGGTCGGCGCGGTAGACGCCCGCGGGGAGAGGCATGGTGGCCGATATGGGGGAATATTGGGTTTGTTGGTAGGTCGTCAGGTTTCCGACGCCGACGGCTCGGATTGTCTCAGCGATGTGTCGCGGAAGAGGTGACACTAGAGGCTGGTGGTGGGACGCGGTGCGGGACGATGCGTCGCGGGCCGGGATAATTCGGTCCGTTGGAGTAGTTTCGTACGAAGCGCGGTGGTGGGACTGGAAGGCGCGTCGTATGCTAGTGACGTCTGTGTACCAGGCGAAGGGAAGTGTCGGTCGTGCGGAATGTGTACCGTTCCCAGGCTTTCGGAGTTGGTATTCCTTGAGAGCGACCGTGGTGAAACGACCGTGATGCAAGGTAATATAATATTTGTCCTCGAAGCTAGGAGAGCCGCGTGACGGACGGACGGGTGCATGCTAGCTCATATTAGTACACACAACTTGATCCGCCAACCCGTGAATGTTTCAATCCCTGGCCCCTTTTCCCACCTCACCCACCATCGTCGCTCTCCATACCCGCAATTGGCGATCGGAAAAATCTCAGGGCCATTCCAATGCGAAGCACCCACCGTGCCACGCCCGGCAGTCAGGAAACTCCATCTTGGTTTGCCGTTGTTGACGAATTAGGCGGGGTAATTGGTGCGCGGGTGCTCGTGATCCACGCGGGGCAAATGGGGAGAAGCTGGATCGGAGAAACTGATTCCCCTCACGGCAAAGACGCCCGGTTGATTTAGAGCGCCTGATGCTGGCGGAGAGCTTGGCCGGATTGCCGAGTGAGAGCAATGTTCAGGAAAAACGATGGGCAGTGGGGCAAGCAGGGCTGAGTTTCGGCGGCAGTTGTATTCTGCGCCGAGCCGAGGGTTATCGTGGACAGCTGCAGACAGGTGGCGGAAGGCTACAGGAAATTGCCCGATGTGAAGTTTACATGGAACATCTTGACTAGTTAGAAATTGAACATGTTAGTTAACGTTAGTAAAAGCCAGACATGCTTTGGATTGCAGTAAACCCTTTCTCCGAAACGCATTAAATTTTTCACAGGCGGCGGTTAGGCTGATATCGGACGGATGTTCGACTCACGCTGCAACTGGCATTGAGCCAGCCGACCCAACAGATGGATCACGGAATGAAGGTTGGTGTGGCACACTTGCAATGTTCCGCCACTTCTCATCTCCAAGGAGCCACAACGACCCCTGAAAATCGTCGCCCCAACAGGGCATACCCATGGACACGAGGGTCGAGAACCCCGCACACCACTGCGAAGCCTGCAACACAACCACAACGTCGGAACAAAGGCATAAAAAGGGAGGACAAAAACTTTGACACGCTCTGCTTGAGATTGTGGCTAGATTAAGGGATTATTTACAAATCGAGATCTTTACAATAGCCCAATGTAAAGGGAAATACAGAAGAAGAGGCATAGCTCATTGCACCACATCCCCAAACAGGTATCGTGTCCTCCCAACATCCATGACGCGCAAAGAAACCCAACCGGAAAGCCAACGCTCCGCCCATATGTCGCGTATCCAACCTCTGCATGAGCCCACAGAGAAGCCATCGCCCAATGCTGTTCATTGCCAAGACATGACAGCAAGCCAATGGCAAAAGGGATAACGCGGGAACCTGAAATTGGACATTCCCAGACTGGCTTCCCTTACACAGCCGCCTCGCCCTGGGGCTTGAGGTAAGCCTCGTCCGACGCGTGGTGGCCGGCAAAGGTGGAGGTAGGCTTCCACTTGGCCGAGGTACGCGGGGTAGTCTCCTCCATCATCTTGTCGACCTGCTCGAGCGAGAGACCCTTGGTCTCGGGCACAAGGAAGTAAGTGTAGATGAAAGCACCCGTGCAAAGAGCGCCCCACACGAAGAAGACGGACGACTTGAGGTTGCCGCGCTTCTCGCCGACCATGTAAGGAGTAATGACGGCAATGATGGTGTTCCAGAGCCAGTTGGACGCAGTCGAGAGACCAACACCACGGGCGCGGATGGGCAGCGGGAAGATCTCGCCGATGACGATCCAGGCACCGGGACCCCAGGTCGACGCGAAGAAGAAGATGAAGATGGCAATGAAGGCGATCTGGGCGTTGACGGCAGAGACGTTGTCGGCGACCGCGCTGTCGGTGTCAGTGGGGTCGAGAAGGTGGGTGTGGTTGAAGCCAACGGTGACACCAATGATGGCGACGAGGAATTGGCAGATCAACATGCCGAGAGCACCCCAGAAGAGGATGGTGCGGCGGCCGAACTTCTCGACAGTGTAGAACGAGATCGGGGTCGAGCACACATTGATGATGGTGAAAACCATGGAGATGAGGAAGGTGTTGGAGATCGCGCCAGTCGACTTGAGGAAGGGAGTCGAGTAGTAGAAGATGAAGTTGACACCGGTCCACTGCTGCATCATCTGCATAGAAGTACCGAGGATGGTCTTGCGCAGGTTGGAGTTGGCCTTGAAGACGGAGCCCTTGAAGCAGTTGGCCCAGCTGCCGAACCAGGTGGTGGAGGGGATGAGCTGACGCTCGTACTCCTCGTTGGCGACGATCTCGGCAAGTTCGACCTGGATGTACTCGGACTCCTTGGGCTGGCCACGAAGGCGGGAGAGAGACTCGGTGGCGGCAGCAAGGTTACCCTTCTTGACGAAGTAACGCGGGGAGTCGGGCAGGAAAAAGAGACCACCGCCGAGGATGATGGCCCAGGCGAACTGGATGGCGATCGGAATGCGGTACGAGCCAGTGTCGGTGCGGCCTTCGGTGGCATACACGACGCAGGCCGCAAGCATGAGGCCGATGGTGATGCAGAATTGGTAACCGGCGACCAGGGCACCACGAACCTTGCGGGGGCACTGTGAAACAAAATAGTACGTTAGCAATGTATTCTCGCTTTTGCAAAACTCACATGCCAGTGAGAACCGTAGAAGGTAGAATGGCATGGGGCGACTCACAATCTCAGACATGTACAGAATGACAATGGCAGACTCAAAACCGACACCGACACCGGCAATGAGACGACCAGCGACAATGGCACCAAGCTCATCTCCCAGACCAGTGATCATCTGGATTATCACACCGATCATGTAGATGAAGCAGCCGAGAATGACAGTCCACTTGCGCCCGATGAATTCAGCGAGGTCACCGGCGATGAGGGCGCCGAAGAAAGTACCACAGGAGAGAATAGAGACGATCAAGGAGGTGTGCGATTCGTTAACCTCCTTGGCGCCGACGTACTCGACGGCGTCGATGAAGATGCGGGCGCCGAGAACACCGTTGATGTAACCGGAGTCGTAGCCGAAGAAAATACCACCAAACGACGCGAAGGCGCAAATCAGGTACGCCTTCCAGGTAACGGGGGCCTCGATGCGCTCGACATCCTGGGTGGTCGCGAGGTCGCCAACGTGCGCAGCGGCCGGGGCCGCTACGTCCTTCTCGTTCGAAGACATAGTGTTGAGTCTCTCTTCTCGTCCGGCGTGGTCGGAGACGGAAGGTTGATGTTGGAAGAAAGGAATGGGAAAAAAAACAAAAAGAAAAGATCGACAACGAAAGGGAGGGGAGCAGGCGGCTGGGACTGATATATGAAAAAAACAGACGCGAGGAACCGACGTCAAACGGCCCGGGGGCAGAGTCAAAAACGAATTGTGCCGTCTGAATGATCAACATGGAATGCCCGTTGAAAGCCATGGGGGCCCGAAGACGCCCCATGCCATGCAAAAGAAGCCTCTGCATGACAGCCCAGGTGTTCCAGGCGCGGAGCGCGTTTTCAGGACCGTGCAGGGGGTCTTCCGGGGCTAGTGGGCCGCTGGGGTTCTGGCACTCCAGCGAGCCACTCAAGACGCGGGGAGGCTCGATCGCCCCCGACTTGGCATAACGTGTGCTTGGGGTATTTCGCCGCTGTCCCGCCGGATCGAATGGGGATGGGGGACGTGCGGGGATCCAGATGGGAAGCACCGGGATTGGACCATGCAGAATACCGCCGAGCTCTGCGGCAATCCCCTGCTCATTGGGGAGTGCCTTCCCCATGGGCCATCCTCTGCAACGCTCCGCCAGGCACCGCTTGGGTTTTCTGACCCCGGCGGCCCTCCAAAAATGTAGCGTGACATCTTCAAGATTCAGCACATTGACCCAGATAACCCTCAGAGACGCTGTACCGAGATCGTTCGCAGGATCAATGGGGCGCTCCACGCGCGGGCACGAGTCATTCACAAGAGTCGTGAGAAATATTGCCTACTTTTTCCCCACGGGGAAGTCCAATCGCCCTTCGAAAGGATCAATGGGTCAAGATCGCAAATTGACCGAGTCGGACCGGAGTGTCGCATTCCACTCGCCGCCATGCCGAGACTAACATTCGATTCGCTGCGCTGTCGCCCGTGGAGGGTCGCACCCATCAAAGGACACAACCAACGAGCCGCAGTGAATCTTACATACACTACCTGTACAATACAATACCGCAGCGCATTTCAGCTCGGTTTGGCCATAGGCTGCAGTGAAGCACTGAGACCTCATCACAACGTCCGTGACAGCGTCTCGTGATACCTTGCAGGGCTGGAATTGAGAGGCTGACGTGAATAGTTTGAATCTGCGAACTGCGAAACCAGGTTTCACTTCTTCCCCATCCTCGCGTATTCTTCCCATTGTTTTACATCATAATTCCGAAAATTGGAACATATCTCCATTTCCATCGCCTCGGGTGGCCGAGATGGCCGAGGACGCCAGTTGTGAGATCACATCCCTTCGGTCAAACGACCACATTCCTGCTACGAAGTATCCTGCGCTAATTCTAAAACCCTCCCTATGGAATCACAAACAATTGTGTCCGGCCGGCCCAGACACCACTACTCTCTTGTCAGCGCCACAGAGGCGTTGGGTCACTTGACGCCTCCACGAGACCAGTATGTAGTGGAAAGCAGTGGCGAGGATTCGGCGGCGCTCCCTTCAGGCGTTCGGGGCCCCGGATTCGGTTTTCGAGATCTCCTCGCGGATTCGGTCTGCGCCTTGATTCGGTGGCTTTCCACTTCTCAAGGCCGGCATGAGCCTGGCTCAGCCCATTGGGCCGCTGCTTAAGACAGGGACTCGCACCGTCGAAACGGTCCTTTTCTGGGGAACCTCACTCCGCTCGCTGCACCTATTTTGGTCTGGCCCGTGTTCCCCTCGGGGCCCCGACCGGCCCCACATGCAGATTTCGCAGAACATATGGAACTTTGGAAGCATCGCTCTTCTCGCTCACAACGTTACACTACACTCTCTTTGTCTTTGACAGACAACCGCAGGGCTGCCTTGGAGGTTGTCTTAGTGTGCGAGGTTTAGGCTTTTGGCGGTGCGTTGTTTTGTCAACTTGTCTCGGGATGGATTCTCAACGGTATGCCTCCCAAAGAGGGTCGTGTTTCGGAACCCCCCTCTCGAAGGGTTGATGACATGTGTGGCTGTCTCGGCGAATACATCTCCAGTCTCCCAACGGACCGAGCCCACCTAGGAATTCCAAACGTGCCCAACCAGGGGTCTTGTTGCTCCACCACCTCCGATGCCCAGACCCGCTTCCCCAGCACCCCAGGACAGCACTCCAGAGATGTTTCCCCGACCAAATCCACGTTTTTCCCCAGGCTTGAGAACCAAGCTGGGTCCCCATGACCATCTCCAGATTCTCGAATTTTTTTTGTGGAAAACTTCGAGCAGACATCCACCACAACACCTCAAATTCAGGGCAGCATGTGAGCGCCGAGGTGGAACCACCAAACGGAACTCCGTGACCGCCCCACCGAACAAGCAATCCAACCGAAGCCGCAATCGCTCCGACTCGGCCAAAACAAAACTTCTAGGCAGCGAAAGTCACCACAAAACTTTCGACTGGCTGTCTTTCAGACATCTCGGTCCGACAAAATCAGAGATTTGGCTTCACCCACGACGACATGAGACCTCTTTTGGGCCTTTCTCGCAGAGTAAGATACCCCAACTCCAAACGAGCTGGACCGTCCCGTCGGCCTGCACGCCACCGCCGAGTTGGGGTAAATCTCCGCCGCGCTCGCGTTTGAAGGATGACGCGCTGGAGCGATCGGGCCGAAAGTCTCCGCACATGGAGCTCCCGCTGTAAGTTCGCAACTGACAACGGTTCCCTTCCAATATCCAAGGGCCTTCATTGAAAACAAACAGTCCCCATAGGTGATGACACATCCCTCGTAAAGCATTAAACGACCCTGACAAAAAATCTCACGTGGCACTTCTGATCTGAGGGCTTGGCTACCCTGCGCTCTGTCCTTGATCCAATTGCTCGGTTCCTCGCATCTGAGATTGTTCGATGGTCGGCCGTCTTCCCGTCTCAATCTCCACCAGTCCGAAAATGGTGGGCTCACGGACCAATAGTAACGCGCTGCTGGCGTGAAAATTGCCCAGAACCGAAATCACAGGGTTTCGCTCTCGTGGATAGCCACGGGCGACCGCAGCGGGCTTCCCAAGACCGCCAGGAAGAAACGAACATTGAACACCAACGGTCAAGCCAAATGGCGTTCGCCAAACTCTCGTGAAACGCCATCTCCCTAGTGGCGTAAACGCCTCTTCTCATTGCCGAGGCACCTTTCCACCTGCGCCGTCTGGCCGACACTCTTGGCAGCCATCGTGTGGTGGAGAAAAAAAGCTTGATCCGGGCCACGACGGAAGCAAACAGCTCAGCTCGGCGACCGGCAAGAGCGGCTGACCATGGGACGTGGCAAAGTTGCTTTTTAATGCGCTTGAGGGCGTCCCCATCGACAGCATCATCGTCGCCGTCGGCCCGACGCCCTCGAGAGCGTGGGCTAGAATTCTAGAAACCTTCCTTTCAGTTTTGCGCTTTCCGCAAAAGAGGGGCGCGGATGAAGTGCAGCCGGCCAAAAACAAAGAAAAAAAGGATCGGCCAGGCGGCCAGCGGGTGCAACGGCGGCCCTGCCGAGCCTGCAAATTGTGTGGTATTGCGCGTGTGAGGACCTGCCGATCGCTGACTAGCCCTGCCCGCGCCGCAATGGGACGGGGGAAGGAGTCGTTTTTTTGGTGTTAGTCTTGTCTTCCTTTGCATGCTTCGCTTGCGGAAACGCCGTTTGAAGCTCCGTCCCGCCTGTATCTCGCCGTGAAACGAAAATTTATATGCATGTTGTGATGCAGGTTGGTTACACTGTAAAATATATCTGCTCTCATTTTCCCGGGCCGGTGGAAACCTGGCCTCGTGGCGTAATGGATGTGTAATGATTGGAACTGCTGAACTGCGACGCACTGGTTCCTCCAAATGAGCTCAGTTGTTTTGGACATGGACTTGTAAGCTTTCTTGAGTGCAAGCTTTTAGTCCAGCACACATGGTTTCATGATACTTCGTACGTCACGCATCCCCGTTTCTCGTCAAATATCACCCCGAAGTGCGATGTTCACTGTTTTATTTATTTTACCCCCCGTCTCATGATCGCCTGATCTCGAGGTCCATGTTATCTGCCACGCACGCCTCAAAGTTCAGTCGGCCACGCCGCAATTGTTCTCTCGGTGAATATCATTTTCAGATATTGTATAAGATCGGTTCAAACAGGGAAACAAACAGTTCATTTATCCATGCCAAATTGAATCACAGAACCGTGGTTTGCCCCCGCCAATATCATCTCGGAAATAAATGCCATGCCGTTGGATATCAATCCCCCACCTTTCACGCCCAACTCCAATCCCAGTATAGAACTCAACGCAACCCAAAAATATCCCAAATGCATCAACACAGTGTTCGATCCCAGCAACCCCGATATAATCCAATCCACCCAGCCTGGGAGGTATAACCTATGCACCCTCACCATTCCATACCTACATCCCACTTCGACCTCCACCCCGGCCACCCCGCAACCCCAAATCCAAACACAACAACCAGCACCATCGAAACCACTGCCCAAATGACCCCCACCCAGCGCCATAGTATCGTTTGCCTCCTCTCTTCCAACGCCGACACATAAAATTCGTGTGTGCTGCGCGCCAAGTTGTTGATTTTCTCGGTTTGTGCGTCCGGCTGGGCGAGGATACTTTGTTGGTAGGGTTGTGCTGGTGGTGCCGGTACGGGGAAGAACAGATGAGGCGGGAGGTGGGAATGTAATGAGCCGATGGGCGCCATTGCGTGCGTGATGTGGCGATTGTTGAGTCTTGAGTAGGTACGTAAAGTTGAACGGGTAAAGTTTCCCGGTGATTACTCTTGTCGCGTGGTATTTCTGGGTTATGGTGTTTTGTTCAGTCTTTTTTTAAATAAAACAACAAGACAAAACTGCGAGCTGCGAGTGGCAATAAGTTCATGAGACCGGTGATCAGGTTGAAACACGACGTGCATTTGAGACATCATAGGCAATTGTTGATTCTATATTTATTTCAGGCGCGGGCTCGGGTTGCTTGATTCAGGCAACGACACGTGTGGCGCGCTGGATGGCACAGCCCGGGATCCCTCGAGGTGTCAGCAACTACCAAAGGCGCCGGTCTTGGCTGTGCTGGGCGAATGAGACATTTTGATATCGAGTCAGGCGCATCGGTTTAGACCTGAACTTTGTTTGGGCGTCGAGCTATTTGAAATGCAAGAGTTAACTGGCAGCATGGTGGAATGCGGGAGAACTGGTGTCGAACATCAGTATCGTGACACAATTGATCAAGTGGTAGATTGATGCGACCCAAACAAGACTGTAAGTTATATGGTTGCACAATATTAGGTTAGGTAAGAGACCAAGTTTCCATGTTGGGCCATCTAGGCAGAGGCAGAGGTAATTATATCACTGTGTGATGAATTTCGAAGGTGACGACAAATATTGAGTTCATTAATTAGACTTTTATTTATCTACTATCGTCGAGCACCTCAAGTTGCCGACCACTCTAAAAATATGTATTTCTTTTTCTCGGGCTTATCCATGTTATGTTCCTTGAGTCATCATCAAAATTCCGTTCAACTACCGGGTAGGTACCTAACTAATATTTGTCTTTCACTCGCCTCATGTATTAAACACCCAAAACGAATCGAACACACGACAGCAAAATGAATGAGGCATCGCGAGCTCGTCCACTTGACCGGCCTCTGGTAAAAGGTCAACGGGACCCGGAATGGATCTCAACAACACCATTGGCAGCCCGTGGAATTTGACGCCATCCGCTAAGTAATTAATAAGAGATTAATAGCCCACATGGTGGATGTTTCGTGCGCTTGCATAAGTGCAGACTTCCGCACGATGCCCCCTGAAAGCCCTCTAAGAGTGACCGAGGAACTCAGATATTGATCTCCAAACGGAACTTGGACCCCATCACGTGTGATGTTGTACGCAAGTCTAGCCGTGGGTTCGTCATCTCATCACGGTTCCTCAGCACGCCCTCAAGCTAACAAGGCCCGATCTCGGCGCAAAAACCGGGACATCGCCAACCGAAAGGCGCTTTCCTCTTTTTCCAGCCCTCAGCTCAGACATATCCCACTTCCTATTTAACTCAGGCGCGCGTCCCCCCGGTTTAATGAGACGGGGACATCCCTCCAGGATAATGAGACCGGGATATAGTATGATGGCAGCTAGTCGAATTGGCGTCGAGTGGCGTAGTGGTTTAATGAAGGAGGAGAGGGTTCAACGTTGGCTGCCAGCCTTCATCCCGAGAGAAGGAGGCAGGATCAACGTAAAGAAAAAGAGGGAAGGGTCGGTGCAGAACCCAAGGTTGGGGGAGGGGAAGGGGGCGCAAGGGACTGTATTTATAGCGGAACGTCTCCGTCAAACTTTTCACAGGCATTCACGATCAAATGACGTCTAGTTTCAGCTGCGGGTGGGTTGGTGCGCGTCTTGGGGCCAGAACACAAGCCCGGGCCCGTGTTGCATGCAGACCCTGTGACGCCATCACCGTTCATCTACCTACCCACATACCTAATGTGCCGGTAAGTTGCGGCATGCCAATGACCGTGTTTTGAACATCATAGCAATGTGAACTAAAAAGGTGAGGCGACAGGAAAAAGAGCAAAAACATACAACACCGGGGATTCCCCAGTCGTCACCGACCTGAGTACTGATCCGGCGGTCGCCAGTTTGACTAGGGGAGAGCGGACGGGATCCCGTATTTTCTAGCGCCTATGGTCGTATGTGATAGTCTGGTGCCTTGACGGTCGCTTATGTACGGACTACGGACTCGTATCTTTGATGGTTAAGGTGGAATGTACGGATACTTGATGCAGTCTACGCGTGAGCAACCCCCTAGCTACGTTAACGTAGAGGTTTGAGAAGACTTGCCGGCTGCAGGATTACCTTCAGCGAAGAGAGGCAACTTCATTGTATTACGTATCTTCGGGTTGTCGAAGTATTTGGTTATGGTGGGCCATTTGTTTGTGTGAAGGCTGTGCCCTGACCGATCGTTACTATTCGCTGCTCGAAGGCCTGATCGACCTCAAATAAGCTGACTTGGGGGCTGAGGGGCTCAATCCATCCAAGGATATAAGCTAAACACAGGGCATTGGTTTAGCTGGTCAACTTCACACAGCCTCTCGCGGTCAATTAATTCTTATTTTCCTTCAGTCCCTTAGGGTTTAATCCCGCACAGTGGTCATGGCTAACACCGTTGAAGAATGGTGCCTGAGAAGAATAGACCAGTGGCTTTCCCGGGGCCTGCTGAAAAAAGAAGCTGTGATGGAACGCCTCGACAAGGCGATCCAGGATAGCTACGCCATCAGCGAGGAAGACGAGGCAACGTTGAACAGCGTCTTCCGCTCGGTTTGCACCGACGAGGAGACTTTAACCGAACCATTGTTCCTCTCTCTTCTACAAACAAAGTCGGCTCTGCCTCGGTCCCTCGATGGCACGGCGGCCGGCAAGCGGGTGTACGCCGCTCTTGTGTACCTCAGCAAGTTACCATTTGTGCCACCCACCAACGCGGCACACCCGGACACGACCGGCCTCACCCTCGCTCAACTTAAACGTGCATTGGTGTGGATTTTCCCTGACCGCGACTCGTCATTTATCGAAGAAGGCAGCAATTCGCGCATGCGGACGCGGGCGGACCACCGGAGACGAATCTTCCAGAGCCTGGCTTCGACGATGGTCGCAGACAATGTCCACACCCGGATCTACGACTCGCAGCGTGCACGCAACCTAGCTCTACGGAACGCATTTGAGGTGGAGTACGAAGAGCATCACGAGTTCTGCCGGCCAAACCATGACGACGACGGAGATGAGATCTACCACGACCTCATCGACCTTCTCTGCGCCACGCAGGAGGTCAAACACCCTGGTCTGGCCACCGTCCCCCGAGACGGGTTTCGCAGCGTGGGAAAGGCTATTACCGCGGAGCACTCCCTTCCTCGCTTGTACAGTCTCGCCTTCCCGGCAAAGGAGTTTGTTCCGCTTGTGAAGGTGCTCCTGGCGCTTCAGTTCGTACCTTCCGCCGGTGGACTCGACCCAAGTATTGATGACCCCACTGGATTTAAAACCGCCGCGGATGCACTTGTCGCCGCGTTCCAGTTCCAATACCACTCATCCCAACCAAAACACTCGGAAGACAATCACGCTAGAGAACAAGATATCACCTACCCCGCATTCGACCACGCGCTGAAGCACATCGCCCCCTTCCTCTTGGGCCCCCTCTACGAGATCCTCTCCGTCTCATTCTTCAACCACAGCTATCCCTGCCTCATCGCGGGCGCCCTGGACCTCCCTCCTCATCTGCTAAAACCTCCTCGCAACACGATGGCTCCCATAAACCCCATAAACGAAACCAACCCTTCCAGGGAGGAGAGTGCGTCCCCCGACCCATTCTTAAAGACCCCCCATCTCGCCCAACTAGTCGCCCGCTTCGCCGAAAACATCGACACCGGTTCCCTGGCACGGGTCTGGGCGTACGACCCTTGCGACCACAACCACGACCACACCCAAAACGGAGCCCCACACGATGCTCCTGACGTAACCATCACATCAATCTTCCTTGACGCGCTGGAGTCAGCCCCTGACGAGGCGATGGTTGTCATCGGGGGTACCCGCAGGGAGAGGAGACAAGGGGAAGGAAATTCGGAGGGTGAAGAGCAAGGGGAAGAGGATGGATACGAAGAATACGACGCGGACGTAGGAATCTTCGGCTTCGGCTTGTTCAGCTCCCGGCCAGAAGACGACGGAGAGAGTATCCAGCCCGGGGAAAGTTCGCGGAATTCTTCGAACAAGCAGTGCGCGCTTTTTCAGGTGACGCCGGTGCAGGATGTCTTTCGGGGGGTTGTGGGGCGTCGGGGATGGGCAAGGATGGAGAGTGGGGATGGGGTGGTGTTTGGCGGGGAAACAGGTGTGGTGTTTCGGTTGAGGGACGAGTTGGCGCGATTCGAGGTTCGACATCGTCAACTTCAGGAGGGCGGTGGTCACGATGGTATCAATGGTCATGGTGTCAATGGTCATGGTGTCAATGGTCATGGTGTGTATGGTGATGGTGTGAATGGTGATGGGGGTGTGGAAAAGGAGGGGTGTAGTTTTGTGCCGAATCCGTTGAGGGGGAATTGGCGGGCGGATTTTGATGTTGAGATGATCGAGATTTGGAGTGAACCTGAGTGACGAGTGTATACCGGTATACTGTCGACTTGTGGGGTTTGCGTTATGGTATTGGATTGTAGGGACAAGATGGCGGAGGCGGTATACCACGGCCAGGCCCCATCCGAACGGCGATCGCCTCTCTGTGGACGAGGAGCTAGCAAGTCCGCCGTTAGTGAAGTCATTCTTACCCAAACAAGAGAAGATAATAATTAACTACACATGACATTGGTTCAAGGCAACGATTGTAAGACTACAAGACAAGACTTATTTGCCAAGCCTCTGGGGACGTTCGATGTGAAAAAAACGGGGACGGAGGGAACAAGTCCGTGGTGCGCTTCAGCCAACCATGATTCACCATTCCGACAACACAGCGAGTTGGGGCTTTAATTGATCTCCGCCTGGTAGTTGGGCGCGTGTACGGAATTTCAGAGCGTTGATACGAGGACATGAGAGGTGGGCAAATAGGTCGTGAACAACGGACTTTGCCGGGCTCTTTATTGAACAAATTGGACACCGCGGTCCGTCGTCTCCGTGACCTTTTTTGGTCAAAATAGCATGCATGTATATGGTTTGATCGATGTGAGGTTACAGTTCAGCCAGCTATAAGTAGGAGCATCATCAGGGCCTTCAAAATGTTCTCCTGTTCCCTGTTCTACCCAAAAGCACAACATTCGCCTAACAACAATACCTTTACCAAGTCTCAACCCAACAACCATGAAGTCCACCATCATCATCGGCCTAACGGCTTCAGCCCAGGCTCACACAATCTTCCAGGTGAGTCCACTCCTCCCGAATCACGGCCAGTACCACCGCCAATAATGAACGACCCCAAACTAACTGCGAACTCACCCCCAGAAACTCTCCATCAACGGGATCGACCAAGGCCAACTCACCGCCCTCCGCGCCCCCTCCTCCGACTACCCCGTCTACGACGTCACCGACCCCCACCTCGCCTGCGGTCTCCAACCTGGCAGCCACTCCCCCACCGTCCTCCCGATCCGCGCAGGCGACACCATCGGTGCCGGCTGGGGCCACGTCCTCGGCGGCGCGCAAATTCCCAACGATCCTGACAACCCGATCTCCCCCTCCCACAAGGGCCCCATCTCGACGTACATGGCTCGCGTGGAGGATGCGGCGACGGCGGATAGTAATGATCCCGGGCTGAGGTGGTTTAAGATTGCGGAGGATGGGCTGGATACCGCGACGGGGACGTGGGGGGTGGATCGGATGATTGCGCAGGGGGGGTGGGCGTATGCGAGGGTGCCGGAGTGTTTGGAGGCGGGGGAGTATTTGGTTAGGCAGGAGTTGTTGGCGCTACATTCGGCGTATGATAGGATGGGGGCGCAGTTTTATCAGTCGTGTGCGCAGGTTAATGTCACCAGCAGTGGGTCTTATTTGCCGTCTGGGGAGGAGACGGTGTCGATTCCGGGGGCGTATGGACAGGAGGATCCGGGGGTGTTGATTCAGATTTGGGTGAATGGAGTTCCGGATAATGGGCGGAAGACGTATGTGGTGCCGGGGCCGAGGCCGATTAGTTGTTAGAGTCGTTTACCTTGGCTAGGTAAAGCCACGGTACACAGTCAAAGCCGGAATATCCGAGGTCGACAATGCTCAGGAAGACACACTGCTTGTTTGTTGACCCTGAAGCAAAACCAAGTAACCAAACTAAGTATCGAGACTTCAAAATACACCCTACCCCTGACTCGCAGCCTCATCCTCAACATGCAAGTCATAGTGCTTAAATTGCCTCGCCGGGACCTTCTTCTGGAACAAAATATCCAACTCCTCAAACGTCCGGCCCCGACTCTCGGGCAACCGAAAGTAACACCAGCCCAAACACACCAAACTAATCCCCCCAAACAAGAACCCGGCCTTCCCACCCCAGTTCGCCTCGTCACTATTAAAGATATACGGCATCGCGACCGTCGTGACAATCGTAGCGGCGGCTTGCACAGCGGTAGCCACGGCGATAGTGCGGCTGCGCAGACGTGTGGCGGAGATCTCGGCGAGGATGACGAAGCAGATGGGGCCGACGGTCATCTGGTAGGTGAAAGTCCAGATGTCCATGAGCGTGGCCATGGCCCAGACCGCGGCGGTGTTGTTGGTCGGGATGCTAAGGAAGCCGATCACGAAGAGGAGGATGGTCATGAAGATCATGCCGGAGTTGTAGATGGTGCGGCGGCCCAAGCCAAACTGGAGGTGTTAGCCGAGTGCGGTATGAGTGGGGAGTGGTGGGACGTACATAGTTCATGAGCGGCCAGGATGTGATGGTCCCAACGAAGCCTAGTGCCGTGTTCCCGACGCCCACTATTCCAAGTTAGCTCCGGTGTGAATAAACACTACAAAAGAACTCACTGTTAAACGCATCGGACGACTTTAACCCCGCCTGCTCAAAAAAGTACGTCGCGTACGCAATCAGGGGATTCCCTCCAATAACCTGGATGAGATACACCATAATGGAGATCTCGGTGCGCACAAGGTTGGCCCCCTTGAAGCAGTCCCAGTACGAGCTGCTGGCCTCCAGCTCCTGCTCGAGCAAATCCGTCTGCTCGATGCCCAGCAGCACTTGGTCGACGTCGGGCGGGTTCTTGGACGACGATAACTGGACAATGGACTGGCGCGCATCGGCATTGCGGCCCTGTCGGACGAGCCAGTATGGGCTTTCTGGTGCGAAGGGGAGGCCGATCAGGATGATGACTGGCCAGAGCCATTGTAGGGCCTGGTCACACAGCGTTAGCCGTACCCTTCTCAAGGTGGTCCAAAGATAGCTAGGGACATGTGTAAGTAACCAGCACTTACAAAAGGCGCCTTATAAGCCCACTGATCCAACCGACTCTCTAACCCGGCCGCAACCCCCTGCGCAACAAACTGCCCGATCACAAACGCCAAATTCACCGACGTCGTCAAAAACCCTCTCAACGCCAACGGACATATCTCAGACGAATACGTCGGGGCAATCACCACATAAAACCCATACGCCAACCCGCCCAAAATCTCCCCCGCACACAACATCCCCACACTCGTCGCAAAAAACTGCACAAACACCAACCCAATACTCCACACACAACACGCCGCCAGCGTCCACCGCCGGCCGAACCGCTCCAGTGGATACCCGCTCGCTAACGCACCCAGGATCTGCCCGATCGGGTTGCCCATCCCCAGCGCTGTCTGCCAGGGGGCTGGCACTTCGTACTCGATATCCGGTCCCCCAGAGGGGATGTCACTACGACGGGGACTGCCGTATTTCTGCTGGAAAGCGGGTAGCGCGTAGAAGGAGGTGATGATTTGGGCGTCGTAGCCGGCCATGACGACGGCGAGACAGAAGAACATGGACCAGAAGGTGGCTTGTGGGTATTGGCGGATGGCGGGCCAGAAGCCAAGGGCGTGTTCGGCGGCGGTGAGATCGCGGGTGGCTTCGATTTCGAGGAGGTCGTCGCGTTTGGTGGGGCGGTGGGAGGGTGTAGGCCCCGGTTTATTGTCGGGGTCGGGAAGGGTGGCCATGGTGATGGATTGAGCGGGATGGGATTGGGAAGGGGTTCAGGTGTAACAGTATGTCAATGAAGCCCTATCAGAGACCGATTGCTCGTGTGACAGTCCTTTGAGTTTGACCTCCACTGGCCCAGCTCCCCGTTCAAGGTGAAGTCTTGGGTGCTAATCTAAAACAACTGGGAAGGAACCACTTCGAAAAGTCGGGGAACCTAAAATTGGGGAAGCGACCACTTAAACACCTGCTTATCTGCCCTCCTGCCCTCTCCAAACGGCAGCATTCCAAACATTCGTTACATTGCACAATTGCCGTCCAGCTGCCGGCCGCGGTTGTGCGACCTTGCAACAAGCTTCGACCACTGACACCCCGCTGCCGATCGTGGCACCGTGGATGGCCGGAATGTAACGTCGTACCGTGTATCTGGGGATTTGTGGGATTTTTGTGATACTGAGGGGAAATTCCCCGATTTGGTATGTGCAGAAAGGTTGGGACTTCCAAATCGGTTTAGGGGTCTTGTTTGCCGGTCGAGTTGCTGTATTTTTGGAATTGGTTTGGACGGGAAAGATAAGCTGATACGGATCAAATACAACACAGCTTCATTCTTCACCTCGGGTGCCTTTTGTTTAACACAGCGAGCCGAACAAGCTATTTTGTTCACGGCAGAAACGTCGGGATCAAGCGGCCCAATAAGATCAGATCAGTTTCCTGCATTGAGTAAGAATAACAGGCACACTGTTCGAAATGCCGAGGCTTGGCGTATTAAGGTACGCAAACATCAACCACAGCTGTTAGCTCCTGACTGTTCTTCACCTAACTGGGATTTTCAACAGTTCAAAGTGAAAGGTAGTAAAAAGCCGGGCGAAAGGTTCTCGAGGACGAAAATAGAAACCGAGCCGAACGAGCCGCAAAAACACGGCTGGAAAATGTGAACGAAGAAAATACACCCGGGATTCTTGACGCAAAGCCGGGGATGGAATAATTAAATTAACCAAGCAGGTTAAAATTTCAACCCAGAATTACCAGAAATTTGCACAATGCGTGCCAGGATGCCTGGGAATTCTAAACCTTCTAGAAGGTATCAGTGGAAACAACACCGGCTGGTTGGGTACGGCGCACCAGGCGCAGATGTTTGTGAATCGTGATTACGGTCGTTGTTCAGAGGCAGGAGCAGAACATTCACAGTCAACAGGTCACAGCTTCACAATAAAACAATGAAATAGGTGGAAGATGTTGATTGACCGTACTAGGGCTAGACAGTTCCTAATTGCCCATTATCATCCCACCCTTTCTAAATCCCCAAAGTGACAGACCCTCCTTCCGAGCCATTCCCAGCGCCGAGACTCCCAGATTGCCTCCGTTGCCGTCCGCCGAAAAGACACCGAGAACTCCACCACCCGATCCGTAGCCGTTCTTTCTCTCCCCTCCACAGTCGGTGTCGCGAAACCGTAATCCTTAATCGCGGTCGTAACGAAAGGAAAGAAGGAAGGAAAGAAACCCTTCCGGAACAACTTAGAGCCAAGTCCAACTGCCCTGGATAACCCCCACAGAAAGATCAGCCAGCGCCTGGAACGCAGCCGGGCTCAAGTCCAAATCGCCCGAGTTGCAGGCGACACAGCGGTCGATGACGGTGACATCGACATTGCGGCCGGAGAAAGAAGCACGCAGGCGGCGGCCGCACAGAGGGTTGTTGTTTGGGTTGCCGTTGGGGGTAGACGGGTCAAAGTCGGCGTGGCTGAGAGCGACGGCTAGGTCGCCGTCGCCGTGGTTGGTGCCGCAGGCACCGAGGCCCGGGTTGTAGTAGGTGAAGCGGCCGTTGGTGAGGGCCGCACGGGTGTCGATTTCACCACCGGAGCTAGTGGTGACCGGAGAGGCGGTGGTGCCGGCCAGGAGGGTGGCGAGCACGGCCAGGGTGGAAGTGATTTTGGAAGAGAACATTTTGGTTGAGGTGTGTGAGAAGTGGTTTGTTTGAGTGTGTGTAGTTTGAGGTAGAAGGTAATGGCATGGGATTGCTTGTGATTGCTTTGGCCTCGAAATTTGTGTGTGTGTGCGTGTGGTTGGAAGGGAGGGGAGGGCGGGAGGCGATTGAGAAGGCGGGTATTTATACTCCTCCAGGTTGAGTTTCCGTCCCATCTACAGCCCGCCTGTTCAGTTGCGGGCGGAAGCCCCCTCCATTCCGGACGGAAGCCCTCACAGTTGCGCATCTACACGTGATGTGTGATGCTGAGGAAAGTAGGAAGACCGGACAGGTGCAAGCACAGGTTTCCGCACACCAACACCAAGACACGCCGGCATCAAGGTACCCCGACACCAAGGCGCGCCAGCCACGCCGAGATATGCTCGTCACCGGAACGTGACCGAAAACCGATAGCCAGTGAGCATTCGGAACTGTACGGTAAGCGACCGACTCTTAGAGACGACGGCCGGCGTCCAAACATGACATTGGCGGGAAATTGTACGGAGTCGGCGTTAAAACTGCTACTAACGGCGTTCACATAGCTCTAGATACCGAAAATTATGACTAGCTGTGGGAGCAGTGTAGCCAGTGTTTGCTGCTATCCAGCGAATCGGTCACATTCCAGTCTCTGACGTGCATATTAGACAGTCTTCGGGCGATTCAGCAACGTACGCGACATGTTTGCGCTTTCACATCTTTGACTATGCCCTTTTCTCTCGACAGGCAAAAATCTGCCAGCTGAACTGCTGTTCCTAGCTTCCAACGACGCAGGAAGCTTGGCATGCTGGTGTCTTGGATCTCTACAATCTTCGTCACGACCGTATCGTATGATTTATTAACATAAGCCAGGCAACAGGTTTGCATTTCTTAACATCAAATCTGGGTTTCGAGAGAGCTTGAACCCTTTGTACCGGCTTCAATCGATCAATAGATACGAGCAAAGAGAACAACCAACGGTGCACGTGTTTGCGACGCCTCCGTCTCAACGCATGATTCCCATCAACCAAGATTCCCAATCCTGCAGTTACAGGCCCTTAAGATTTGGCATGAGCTAGGATGCTGTGAGTTTGACAATCATCTACAACATCCTTCCCCTTTCACAGCTAACCATTCCTAAAAAGGCGGCTGATTAGTTTACAAGTGAGATGAGCCTAAATTCCCACTGTGTGCTGCAAGACAAACCATTGTTGCTCTCTGCTTCTATGATCCACGGTAGCAGTCACCTCCGGCCTATGAAATAACGACAGTTGCGGAATGCATCCACAGGGGGACCCCCTGATTCTATCTGGAAGGTTTACATATTGTGCCTGTCGATCAGAAAGCGGTGTGACCCGAACGCTTTGCAGCTTGTTGCTTGAGAACGTGCTTCATCTGTAGGTCGAGACAAGATGTTTGCTTCGCCTCCCATGTCAGCCGGTGCAGTATCTGACCGAACCGTGTCCCATTATTTGGTCTATGGCATGTACTGACGCTTCTTCAAGACAGCAGGGGCTATCAAGCTGGTCTATTTCATTTCTGGTCTCCTCTGCAGTCATCGGGTGAACTGGAAAACCAAGCAAAACATATGGGGGCTTGTGTACCCGATCCTTCCGGGCTGTGAGACGCCAATTCACACAATGCAACTATGCACTCTGGCGTTTACTTGCCTTGAAAACAGGGGGAAGAGTTAGCTCAATGAAAACCATCAAACCTCGCTGGTAACCACAATCGACTTCAAGAGCAAGGATCAAAAGAACAACGCCGCCTTTCTGAGCAGATGTGGGATTAATCCTCCAGCCATCACTGCTAGTGGAGAGGTAACACATGGTTTTCCCCGCAGGTCGGGGTGTGGAATGTCCAGCCTGATTCACGAGGATACCAGGGACTCCACTCGCTGTCCGGGAGGTCTCGCCGTGGGGACTGCATCCTCTAGAAATTTGGGAAGTCCTGTGTAATGAGGGAGTCGGCAGAGATACTAGTGTGCTGAAGTATCCTCCTCCAGCACTGCCTACCTGGCCTTGTTCAGGCCCTGGCTGGAAACTCTGGTAGTCTAGTGTTTGACTACCAGGGCCGAGTTCTTGGCCTATATCTCCGGACGCCGCCATGCCATCACCCACCATCAAGATCCCGGCGGCTTCCCGCCGCGACGATGGCTTCACCTTTCGCCTCGCCGCGGCGACAACGACTCAGACATTTCAGCACGGCGGTGCCACTTTCCAGTCTCCTCTTGCCGGGTAGGCCCTTTACCAGGCATACTTCACGCACGACTTACCTCTGCTTTCCAATCAGGCCCCAGCACTTTCCACCAGTTTACTTGTGGTTTTAGGCTCGTCTGTCAAATGCTTGTGTGATGTCTATAGTGAGAAAAGGCCGGATTTTAGTCTTCGTCAAAATATAAACAGGAGAAATGCAATCCTAAACTGTTGAGGACAAAATGCACCGGTGCCCGGCGTTGCCAATTCACGTAGACGTTGTTGCTCAACTTGAGCTAATTACCCCCAACCAGTAATTAACTAGACTCATAGGTGATCATTGATTACTATAGCACCGCCACCGAGCCGGCGGACTCTGAATCAAAGTAGAACCACTCACTGTTCACGGCCTGCTAGCTGCCAAACCCGTGATCTCGACGTAGACCCAATCAAAATCCGCCGGCTAGCTGCAGTGCAGCAGTGATTAGGTACCCAAAGTTCTCGTTATTTGCTGCCACGCCGCGTTCACACTTCACGATTCACGGTTCATTGCTTTCTGTTCTCCTCGCTGCTGCTGCAACATAATTCCCTTTCTGCCTTACACAAAGTGGGTCGATGTTGGACCATCGGGCACATCTGTCTTGTCAGCCAATAAGATCCAACATCGAACATGTGTTCAGTTAAGGCAGACTCATGCAGTACAATATGTACAATATCATAGAAGCTCTTAGCTACCTTACCTACCTCACAAAGTGACAGAACAACGCTGCGGTGAACGAAGTCAGGGCCATGGTGGATATAACACATCCAGAACAGGTTTCTTTTTTACTTTGTTCACATAGTTCAACAAGGGAAAGAATACATTTTCCGCTGCAAAACATGGAGGAGAAACCAATAAAAGTGAACAAGAAAATGGAAGTTGAGAACAAGAAAAGGAACAAAACCTTAAAGCCTTGCCAAGACATCTGAGGGAGTGGCCTTCCTGTTTGGGAAAGTGGGTCTCCAAGTTCCCCGCGCGTGCTCGGATTCAGCGTCGCGTGCGTCGTCAGCTTCGGCTTGTTGTCGTTGCCGAGCGAGTCATCGATGAGAATTCTCCATCTTGTCGTTGACAAGGCGTGTGTCGCGGGCAAGGGGTCGCATTGAAAAAGGGCTAGCTTGCCGTAGATGAGGGCGGAAGCGTCACTTGCCATCAATCGTGAACCACGTCCAAACACCACCAAAGTTTACCCGGGCACATCCCTCAAGATGGATTGCGAACGCGATCCCTTACTCCCGGGGCCTCACCCTAACGAGAAGTCACCAAGGATTATCCACCACAAATCAAGCCGCAATGGCTTCACCAAATGCGCCGCCGTCACCCTCTGCACCATCATCACAGTCTCCCTCCTAACCTACGCCGTCCTCATCAAGGTCCCCACATCCCACAATGGCAACAACAACAACCCCAATGACCCCCAACCGACCCTTTACCCAGGCGAAACCATCCCCTGGGCCCCCTGCGGCGCCATCGCCGACCGACCCCTCGAATGCGCCAACCTCACCGTCCCCATGGATCACTTCGCCAACCCCCCGACAAGCATCGCCTACCCCAGTTTCAAAACCTTCACCATCGCCCTCGTCCGCCTCCGCAGCCGCAACCCAACCCCCTCCACCCGCAACCTCCTCATCAACCCAGGCGGCCCCGGCGGGTCCGGCACCGGCCTAGTCTTCAAACGCGGTGCGCTAATCGCCGACATCGTAGGCGACGGCTTCCATATCCTCGGTTTTGACCCGCGCGGCGTCAATGCCTCGTCTCCGCGAGTAACCTGTTTCCCTAACGATGAGGCGCGGCAACGGTTGTCGGCTGGGATTAGGGCGAAGAAAGTGGTGGAGGATAGCGGGGAGCTGTTCGCGTGGATGGGCCCGCATGTGAAAGGGTGTGCAGAGATCGCGGGGGAGCACGCGGAGTATGTGAATACACCGCAGACGGCGGCGGATATGAATTCCATCCTAGATGGGGTGGGGCAGAAGGGGATGGTCTATTGGGGTTTTAGTTATGGGACAATTTTGGGGCAGACGTATGCGACGATGTTTCCGGACCGGGCGGAGAGGGTGATTGTGGATGGGGTGGCGAATCAGTTTGATTGGTATCAGTCGCGGTTGGATAGGGAGATGTGGACGGATACGGATCGGGTGTTGGAGGGGTTTGTGGAGGAGTGTTTGAAGGCTGGGAAGGGGGATTGTGCGTTGGCGGATTTGGCGGGGAGCAAGGAGGAGTTGTTGGAGGTGGTTGTCAAGGGGGTGGAGAAGTTGAGGGATGAGCCGGTTGGGGTGTATGTCAATAGTACGGTTTATGGCGTGTTGGATTACTGGGCGGTGTGGCATAGCGGGGTGTTCCCGGGGTTGTACAAGTCGGCTACCTGGAGGGACCTCGCGGACAACTTGGCTGCGCTGTTTCAAGGGAATGCTACGCCCGCGTACCTGGCGTATGGCCTAAAGAAGGCGTGGGAGGACGAGGCGGAGCCGTTCCAGTTCATCTCCAACAACGACGGCGTCGCTGGTCCCGAATACTGGCCTTCGGACAGGCTTGGCCTGGTCGAGGAACTCGTGCCGTTCTTCAACGAGTCTAAGTTTGGGGACGCGATCCTCGACGCTTACTTTTCGAAGCAGATTTGGTCGATCCCGCACACCCACGAGTACGTACCGAAACGGTGCGTCAAGACGGCCCATCCGGTCCTCATCCTCACAACCTCGTGGGATCCCGTTTGCCCCGTTGTGTCCGCGCAAAGTGCGGAAGACGCGTTCGAACATTCCCGGATTGTGGAGGTCAAGGGTTATGGCCATTGTTCGATCTCCTTGCCGTCTACCTGTGTTGCGAAGCATATCCGCAACTTCCTGTACGACGGGAAGCTGCCGGACGAACGTGTCACATGCGAGGCGGATGGCAACCCGTACTTCGCCAAGCCGGAGGAGACATTGGCCTGGATTAGCGCGCTGGCTGTTAGCGAGGAGGACAGCCGGATCCGTCTTGCTCAGCAAGAGCTTGCGAAGGATTTCTGGCCTAGTATTCGGAGGGGGTTTTAAGAGCGGTTTGTCAAGGTTCCTAGGTTATTCGGTACGCAGATGGTACTATGTCTCGATATATTAAGCCTCTGTGTATTCTAATGCATCCGTGGAACCTAGAATTGGCGTTACATCTCACTCTGGTGTCTGTTCCTGTTCCATAATGCTGCGAAGAACGGGACAGAGGCTCAGGCACTTTCCATCTCAGTTCCTTGATCCCCTCCAAACGGCCGGCCCAGGAATCTCCCAGTCTGTTCTGCTCGAGCTTGGTTCTTCGTAGATGGAAAGGTGCAATTCGGGGTCTAATTCAATCCATATATCGTTAGCACAGCAACAAGGACCTTTCCGTCAAATCTACTACTCACCATCCTGCTCCCACACCCCCGGGATAGCCGCAAGGTAGTCCTCCCCAGGCAACTCATCCCCCGTCCCCGTAACATACAAGTGCGCACACTCCGGATAAAACTCCGGCGTCAACGGCACATGCAGCGCAAGCAGTTCATGCCGCAGCAAATACGCCCCCTGCTGCAACCTCTCCGGAATAGTCACACTCCACGTGTAATTCCGATTCGCAACCATATCTCCCTGCGCCCACACCCCGTCCAGCATCGTCCCCGACAATAAACCAGCCTGGTCAATTTTGAACCAGCGCGCACCGTCGGTGCCGTCGAACTCGGCGCACGAAGCCGGCTCGGCTCCGCAGTAGGCCATCCATACGATCACGGCCCCGATGTCGTGCGGCCAGCCGCGGTAGTAGGCTTCGATTTGGGCGCCGGCTGCGACGGTGGCGTATTCTTCGGCGGAGGTGCCCGGGTTGTTGCAGATTAGGGAGGGGGAGGCGAGGTCGGTGATGGGGCCGAAGTCGATCCAGTGGCGTTGGATGGAGGATTGGCCTTCGGCTGGGTAGTAGGGGAAGAATCTGTTTTTCACGTTATGATGTTAGTGGGGGATGGATGAGTTGTCTTTGAGTGTAATAAGACGGCATAACACCCACCCGGGCTGCCAATCTCCTGCGATGGAGTAGTTCCAGACCCCGCCGTGCCCGAGGGCCGTCGAAGAGAAAAGTAACGCAAGAGCGCCAGAGAGTAAGCGAGACATGGTGTTCAGCGTTAAGTTACTCACCGGTTGTTTGAGAGCTTCCATTACCCAGCGGTCGGCGCTCGCTTTATGAAGTCGGCCACACGGACACTGCGGCCCAATGCTTATTTGTCTCACATTCTTGCGTCAATCCAGGGTGGAAGAGAATATATTGCTGGATGTTACCCAGCCAGCAACTCTGCTGCTGTATGTTCCGTATCGGGAAATGTATCGGGGGCTCGCTCGAATTGGATCTCGTGTCGGTGGGCAAAAACAGGCTCGAAGGCTAAATATAACAACATACGCCGACTCGGCCTCGGGTACCCTAACTCCGAATTTTTTGTCCACCGAAAGCCCCGAATGAAGTGATCCCAAGCTTCTACACCGACAGCCTATGAGTGGTCGCTGTATGATCATTAGCGTTTAATTCCGAGTCAAGGAGCGGGAGCTGGTACCGTTACTCCCGTACCAGTATTCATCCGGGGTTATAACTACCACGCGAGGTCAGGTGAGGGTATTAGACTACGTTAATCAAGTAAATCAGACGTACAGAAAGTGAGAACGAAATCAGTATTTGTAATTTGAGTGAAATCAATATATTCTTTTCGGTAAGACTGTAAAGTTGATCTCGATCAATCTTATCGGATCGAGAAGTTAGTGCAATGAATGCAAACTCAACCCGCTCCTTCGGTTCTTTAAAATTGCTCCCAGTCCACGTTTTTGATCAGATCAAGGGTTGTAACTTGACCGTTTACTGATCTACAGCCCCCCGAAGACAGGTTTGGCTGCCAGTAGTGTGCTTCCGGAAAAGTTCAAAGTCGGGCCTCATGTGCAATAGCGGTAAAAAGGTATCCGACATTTCCCAGCCACCAAGGACGTTAGTCGGGGCCTTACGAAGGCAACTCACGATCCATAGGTAGGCAACCAGATGTTCTACACTATCTAAATAGGTACATTGTGCCTAGTACGATGAAGATTCTGTAGTCTCCGTATAATACTTTCACAACCCCTGCAAAATGAATCCGCCGCTCCATGGCGTACGCAGGTCTCCCACTCCCGAAATAAAGTCAAGTTCGATGTGAGTGACGATAATGTTTGGTCCAGTATTTCTTTGTCCAACCAAAGCAGTAAGAGCTCTCAATAGTAATTATTTAAAATTTATTCGCCCCACATCAGCAGATTCGATCGCCGTGTTTTCCGATCAAATTAAAATTGGCGGTGAACCAAAGCCTCTTGCAATACCCAACTGTCTTTGTCGCCTCCGCCAAAACGCATAATTAGCCCAATCAAACACCAGCAAGGCTTTGGTTTGCACTTCTTTTACTTCCTTTTGACTTTCGAGGCCGCATGTCACGTTCAAATTCTCATCAGCACAGGTAAATCTTATCCTCCCCAGTACCAGGTATTTAGCGATCTCACCATACGAAATTACTTGGAAGCTAACATGACTCAGGCCCCCAAGACCCAAGAATATTCTCAGCGAAGCATTACACCAATCATCTCTCGGGGCGGCATGGTGAAGAGGTTCAACATCCACGACTTTACCTGTGAGGAGGCTCTCCTCCCAACAGTATACTGGAGGGTATCACACGGCAACTCTCAACACACGCGAGACCCGTTCACCGGTACCCTTACGGCGGCGGCATCCAACGCCAGTTTCGTAACTTCGAATCACGCCAGGTTTAAACAGGCAGTGGTCGACCATCTCGACTGGTACTCTCTATTCCGAGCTGTTTTCTCTCGGTTTTCTCCGAGGAGCAGAGTACGATTCAGTGGGCGTCGACACTCATCTCGGGCGATGTTACCATCACGCCTGTCATCATCGCTATGCTTTCGCCAGATACCCTCATCTTTGATGTAGGTGAGGTGTGCGAGGAATTGGGGATTGAAAAAAAGTATTCTCGGGACGAGTTCCTCATCACGGATTCCTTACCATACAAGTCGCTAGGGCACCGATAGACACTGCAGGAAGGAGCAGCACCTTTAACGGACTTTGGGCTTCTCGACAACATAGAAATAATCCAGCGCCTCAATGACCAAGTCCAACAGCGTTTCAGCTTCGTCAGAGAGGAAATTCCACGGCTCATACAGGCAGGAGAGAGGTACGGTACATGGGAGCTGCTCGATATGACATTCATGTTGGCACGGGAGTGTCAATACGCCATTTTTGAGATGCGGGTACCTACCGTGCGAACCCGTCGTGATCCCAAGCCTGCGGTCAAGCGCTCAGCAGCCAGGGCGGAACACACCCACACACATCGATGGATGATCGGATAATATCGTTCTACTCGTTGTACATCGCAAACCACACTTACATGCACGACACATAATTGACTTTTCCCAATTCCCTCCCATCAAAAGCCGCCACAAATCAGGAACACGACGGCGAACGCACAGAGCTCCTCAGCCCAAGGAATCCGACGTGCATCAACAAAACAGCCCCAAAAAATAAGAAAATAAGAAAATCGCTTAACAGCTCCATTCCGGGTGCGATCAGCGCAATGCAGCAAAGAAGGTTGCAGCCGCCAACCAAGCGTCCAGGGGTGCCACGGACCTGCCGAGCCTGTGAATGCCCTCGCTTGTGTTGGCAAACGTGCCTTGCAGGGGGGAGAGAACCCCAAGAGGGTGAGGGTTGAGGGGTATTTGGGGGCGGAAGGCCTCGAAGCGTCAACGGGGAAGCGGAGGACGACAACGAGCGGAGACTGGCAAATCCGGACACACGATACAACGCCACAGCGTAACATTATTAGCCGCGTTACCCTTGTGCGTCTTACGCCAACGTGTCATGGGGAATTTGCATGCATGGCAATAATGGCAGGCCACGCAAGGGGTTGAGAAAGCGTGTGAGAAGGGCAGATTTTGAATTTGCGGGGGGAGGGGGGTTGTCGGCCGGGGCGTTTGATCATTGACGGAGGGTGTTGGTGGGTTGGGTGTATTTTGTTTATGTTGGAGTTCTTTTCCTTTTTTCTCGGGCTTTTCTTCCTGATAATACCTTACCCAGCTTTTGGTGGGGATCAAACCTTGGTTTTCGTCGTCCGTGTGAGGACATCTCGTCCACGATGGTTGCTGCTCATGAGCCTGCACCTAAGCGGGGAGCTGTTGGGTTTTCGTCGGGCTGGATCACTGCGTTTGCTATCGGTGAGTCCAGTTGTCGGGCGTAACTCCGTGATTGACGGACTAATCATTCTCCTAAGCGCGCTCATGTCACGCCTGGGTGAAAATACTAATTAATTAATTCTCAAACAGTGAGCCTTGTCGCTAACATCGTCTTCCTCATCGGGTGTGCCACACCGACGACCAAGGATATTGCCCTTTACCGAGTCAACGTTGCCATTGCAGGAGAGTCGTTGAAGGAGCTCGCGGCCATCGACAGCCCAGGTCAAACAAAAACACAACCGCTTGGTTATGATGACCTACCCACCTATTGGTACTGGGGGATGTCAGGTAATTACCTATGCTTCATAGCAGCTTGATGTATTCACTCCGTGCAAGCCAAATACTAACCTCAACAGGAATATGCGACGTCTACGAAACAACCGGCGAAACACGCTGTCGCAAGGCATTCCCGCCGACTCAAAACCTCCTCACAATCCTTCGGGAGTCCCTGGAGGGCAACAAGAACAGGAAGCAGCCCACCGAGGATATCATCGCATCCTGGAACACGACACTCAGCAACATCAACTACAGCCGACTCCGCGAGAAAGAAGGCACCTTAGAGTTGGAAAGCAAAGCCAGCGCCGCCCTAGCCATCATCGCCATTGCGCTTGACGTCATAACACCTTTTATCGCTTTATCCCTCCGTCGGGCGTCGAAACCAAGTCTTCCGTACTTGCTCCCGCTCTTTAGCGGCCTGATTGCCGGGGCCGCTGGTGTGCTGGCTGTCATGTCGATGAAGAGCGGGATTCACGACCTTGCCAACAACGGGGAACACGGAGGCGCGGCGATTATCATCTTGTTCGTTGGGGCGGCTTTACGGATACTTTCATGTGGTGGTGCTGCGCGCAATCCCCATCCTGCTACTGACGATGCTGCTGCTGCTGCTGAGGGGAGGTTGCAGCCACCACCTGGGGTGCCGAGGAACGACTGGATTGGGTTCCTGGGGGAGAACTATGTTCGTCTCCTGTCTCCATCTCTTGTTCTAAACAATGTCCCTGAAAACACTAACGTTAGTACCAGATCTACGCACTGTTCGGAAACAACCTCCCAGGGTGGTCTTACGAGAACTGGACCAGCCACCTGCGCAAGTATGCGCAGTTTCCTGAGTTCCTCCTCCCGCAGTCCCAATTTTCCGACTTTACCTACGCTGATCCCTCTGGCCGCATGCCGGGGTTCCTGAGCACCATGGGTGTACCCGTATCCCCGCATTGGTCGAGTAACACCAAATACCATCTCGAGGTGAAGGCCACGCCTGGACACTGTGGTGCCGAGTTTTATGTTAGCCAGTATCAGGCCCGGAAGGTGAGTGTCCACCTTCATTACTTCCGCTTGGAACGTTGTCCAGGGATGGTCATGTTGACAAAATCACAGATGCAGGATTATGCCGGTGATCCGAATAATGCATATGTTCTGACCCGTGTGTTCAACCTGGGGAGCTCGCCGGACTTGAGATGCTTCCTTGACCCGTGGTCTCACCCTGCTCTTGCTTGGGGAGAGCAACGCAGCGATGGGGACTATCCGGTACGCACAAAGTATTGACCACGAGCATGACAGCAACGGAATGTCTTTATGAAATAATGGATAATACTTCGAAGAAACCAATCTGATATCATTGGAAAAACAACGAGATTCATCAATTCGTAAAGGACCAACCTACCCAAGCCCAAGTGGTATCTTTCGCAAGCGACCCTTATCCCAGCATTCCAAAATCCAGACGCCATGCCATGACCAACCAGCCAAGCAAAGCCCCAAACCAACCCAGTTCCCAAGTCCCAACCTTTTTAACGACCACCACCTCGATGATCAAAACCAAACTGAAACCCCATACTCCCTCTCTTCGTCGTATCCCAGCCCTGTCCTCCCCAAGTTCCTCGCCCAGGCACCGCATCAAACACCCGTCCCCTCCTCGATTGTCTTGGATGCACAACCACCGGTTCCACCTCATGTACCTGATGCTCGGCCAGCGGTTTGGCCGAATCCGGTCTCTCATCCTCACCACCACCATCAACAGCGGCGACTGCCGTCGCCTCACTTCCATTGCGAGTGTGCTCCGAGGCGCCCCAGTAGGGTGGGGGGTTATGATGATGATCATCAGCCTCGTTCTGATTCTGGCTATGCGGACTGCGGTACACCCCATCAACAAGATCGCTGGAATCATACTGCATAAAATCAACGCTCATCCTACCCGAAGGGAGTGCATCGTTCAAAAAGGCCCGATCACTCCCCGCGCGCGTTGTACCCTCCCAGTCATGGAAGGTATCCAGCAGCGACTCTAGATGGAAAATACTCCTGCGTTTCCTCGCCGGCGGAGACGGCAGCCCGTTGTTGTTGTTGCCGTTGCCCAGACCCTTCTCCACACCATCCTCCCCATTGTGCTTGCGCTTCTCCTTCTCGTTGTGGACAAACAACATGCGGAAGGAGACAAGACAAGAAGTGAGGTAGGCGGTGATGAACTCGATGGAGAGCCAGAACCAGGCCCAGGCGATGTTTTGGGTTTGTGAGCCGTCAGTGGCCACGCGGCCAACGTTGATGGTGCCGCGGATGATGGTCACGGCCACGGTGAAGAGGGTCAGGGAGAAGATGCCAGTGAGGATGAGCTTTTTGCGCATTGAGAGGCGGACTTGCCAGAGGATGGCGATAGGGAGACAGACGACTTTGGGACGTCGTTAGCGGGAGAGTTGGAATGGTCAAGGGGTATAAGATGCAGGGGTAAAAGACTCACTCAAAACATCAGAGGCTGCATCGATCGTGCAGTAGGCTACCATGTACGTCCACTGGCGTGCTGTCTCGCCGTTGGCTGTGCACTCGAAAAAGATGACTTGAAGGTCGCTCAGCATGCACTTATACTCGATCAGCGCGATGCTGATGGCGTACGAGGCCAATGTGACAAACGCCACACACCACCAAAAGATGCGGTACTGTGTGATCGAAGAACCGAGGCGGTAGAAGAACAGCAGAAAGCTGAGTTTGACGAGATGCACACCCGTAATGCTGAGAATGCCTTGGATGAAGATCCCGTGTAGGGCCTTGGGCACATCATCTATAAAAGTATCCGGCATCGGGATGATCTGGTTCGAGACATCCTCCAGCTCGTAGACGTAGGATAGCCGTAGTTGGGCAACGATGGCTGCGGCAAGCTGGAGACCCAACGCAACCATCATTACCCAGTCTTCGGGGAGCAACTTGCGGAAGCAGACCCATCGGATGTAGGAACGAGCACAGAACCCGAGGAAGCAGAGGGCAAACCCGAGCCATATGACTGCCTATTTGTTGTGACGAATAAATGTTAGGAAACATGCCACATGGTCCAAAGCATTCAACATGCGGCTTAAGCTGGCAGACTCGCCTTCATGGTCTCCACAGGCATCAAATGCTCGGTAGTGCCGAGCAGCACATCGGGCTTGGCTGGTGATGCAGACATGGTCGTCGGTTGTAGAATCGGTCGGTTGGCAACCCCAAGTCAGACCAGGCCAGACGATCGTCGCATCCCAGGCTGGATTGCGCGGTTTATAGCTCATCTGGAGTTTTGCACTTTGAATCAGCGCCTCACATGCGCCTCTTCCTTGCCTCCTCCTGCCCCAAAAAGGAACATATGGAGGGTCCAGTCATCGCTCGTGGCCCCCTTGACAGCCGCGATCCTCGCATAGCCGAGGGCCTCCGTGCCGCTGAGCTGCATCTACGCAGGTCCGGCCCCCAGACCTTCCGGTTGACATCCATTATTCCTTTCTGCTGGATCTGATTCTGTTATCAAGGGATGATTTTGTCATTTTGTCAACCGGGAAACATACAAGAACAGGCGGGCCCTGGAATTTAGGAGATGAACCCGCAAAACCCGCAATCTATCCGACGTCTGTCAACCACAAGTAACAAGTTGTCAGGGCGATTTTCAACGAGAGAGAGGGGTTTCAAGTGTCGCCTGTTCCAGAGCCTATCCGGGATGGCGCAGCTCGGTACGTGCCGCTCATCCCGGACCGCGCTTGACCAGTTGCAGTGCTATTAGGGCTGACAGAGATGGGACTGCCGCTGACGTGCAGGACTGCAGGTCGCAACATCGGAGGGCTGGGGGATTGGATTGGAGGTTTTGGAAACACTCGGTAATTGCCCGTGGAAATCTTAACTGCTCGATTCGGTTGTTGGCCGTGCTAGGTACCAAGCGGCATTGTGATGCAACTTCAACAATCATCGGACGACTGTCTGGCATTCTCGCCGACAGACATATCGTTACCCGGCCTGCTGAGGTTGTTATTCTGAAATCTGAAGCCAAGGGCCAAGCCCGGGCAGGAAACTGTGTTGCGGCTGTGTCTTGGGTCACACAAGCCATGCACACAAATCCCACAGCCAGCCCCAGGCCGCAACATAAAGCAGTTTGCGGCAAAGCAATGGGTAACACGAACTATCTTGAACACCAAAGAGCTGAATTGGCGATCACGCAATGCGAGGAAGTCGCCTCCCAGGCCAGGAGCTGTTGGGCATTTGGCAAAACGGGAAAGAACGTCCGGGGATAGAGTTTGAGTTAGGGTTGGTTAAATCCAAAGGGGGTTAGCTTGCCATTGATTGAGGGTTAAAATCCATCCATTCAACGAAAGTAAACAACAGGACAACTTGCCCAGAGGTGTTTCAACTCATTAATTAAAAGTATAAGATAACATCAAGCCGGCAATGCCAGAACCCCAGAGACGTTTCGTCGGCTCTTAGCTCGGTAGTCGAACTTGCTTTAAGTATGTTTTATTGCTTTTCAGCCTTTGACTGTTTGTTTTGTTAAGCTGCGAATGTGACTGATAATTAGAGGTGTACAATTAAGGCCAAACTGGGTCAGCAGGGCATCGCCGAACCTCTTTCTCAATAATAGCACTGGCCCGGAGACAAGAGTCGTCTTTTATCACGATCAACTTGCGCAGGTTTGCGTAACCCCTCAACCTAGACACAGAAGCATTTTCAGTATTATCCGTAATTGAGTAGAAGTTGTGTTTTCAACCATGCCGACTGTACAAAGTAATTTAAACCCTCTCTCCCACCCCGTTACCATATCATCGAGTACACAACCTCAACCTCCAACAGGGCCAACCATTTCACACAGAGCACCAGAACAAACATTTCACTTGACCGCAGCATATAGAACGGTAAAGTGTACCATTCCATGACCGCAAACTCCAAGAAACAATCGATCCCCGGCCAGCGGGTACTAAGTACATATGACAATCTAGTAAAACCACCAAAACAGAAACAGCAAAACACCAAATACCCTAAACACAAACAATTCCCTCCCCCATTCCATTTCTAATTAACGATACGCAGAGGGCATCTGCGACACCGAACGACGCGAGCTGCGCTGCGGCTCGTCCCTCCTACCCCGCGAATCCTGAGCCTCAGCCTCGCGACGCTCACGTTCCTTACGTTCCTGACGTTCACGTGCCTTACGTTCGTGGCGCTCCTGTTCCGTCTCCTGACCATCACGCCCCTTACGTTCTTGACGTTCCAGACGTTCACGTGCCTTACGTTCCTGGCGTTCCTGCTCCGTCTCCCTCGGCCTAGAATCGGACGCAAGCGGCGATGGCTGCATCGGCGTTGTGTTCGCCAACGTATAGGCGTAGTACTGCCGGGCCTGCGGATCCAGCGGTGTTGAGTGCGAGCTGGGGATGGTTCGGGCCGAGGCATAGTTATTTGGCGTCGACTGCGCCTGGGGGGTCGGGTACACGCTGGCGCTGGTTGGGGTCGAGCCATGGCTCCGTGGCGTCGGCTGCGCCTGGGGGGTCGGGTACACGCTGGCGCTGGTTCGGGACGA